TCTCTCTCTCTCTCTCTCTCTTCCCCTCTCTCTCTCTCTCTCTCTCTCTCCTCTCTCTCTCTCTCTTCTCTCCTCCCCTCTCTCTCTTTCTCTCTCTCTCTTTTCTCTCTCTCTCTCTCTCTCTCTCTCTCTCTCTCTCTCTCTCTCTCTCTCTCCCTCTCTCTCTCTCTCTCTCTCTCTCTCTCTCTCTCTCCCTCCCCCCCCCCCGCGAGCATTTTTTTTTGTGGGGGTTCCAATAATTTTTAACAAATTTCAACTTTCCCCCACTCAATTTAAGACATTTTTGACGAAAAATAATGTAAATTTAGATCACGAGTGGCTAGTTTTCCCATTACACAAGGAAAAATAAAAAATAAAAAAACTGGCGACCACCACCCTCCCATGGTCTTGACAGCCACTTCATGGCCGACATCTGTGTTGAAAAGTGGTAGACCCCAGTGCAAATGTTACTTTGACCTTTTTTGGGGTATTATCATACCTAATCTACACATATTCTGCTATGTATGATAATTTATGTAACTGTGCTTCTTACATGTACCCGAATACACTTGTAACCGAATACACTTGCTCTTGCGTCTTGAAAATAAGGAACTGGTACACGGATAACCCGTTTCGGTCCCAGGTGGGACCGAAACGTCGCCGTAAGTTCCTCCTATGTGCGGGTTATTTGTGTATTGTTCCAGCCACAGCGGTATTGCTACTTTTCGTTCTTTAAGGAACTGGTGGACCAGGCTGCCCGGTTAAGACGTCCTCCACACTCGTATTACCTTCAAAACTCCTCTTATGATGAAATATCCGTGTAACTGGACCACAGTGTATTTGGGCAGTGGGTTTAGTCACTGGGAAATGAGCGTCAATGGTTTTTGTTCCCTGCTGGACCAGAGAGTACAGTATCCGTCTTCCTGCTGGGCCAGAGTACAGCATCCATCTTCCTGCTGGACCAGAGAGTACAGTATCCATCTTCCTTCTGGACCAGAGAGTACAGCATCCGTCTTCCTGCTGGACCAGAGAGTACAGCATCCGTCTTCCTGTTGGACCAGAGAGTACAGCATCCGTCTTCCTGCTGGACCAGAGAGTACAGCATCCGTCTTCCTGCTGAACCAGAGAGTACAGCATCCATCTTCCTGCTGAACCAGAGTACAGCATCCATCTTCATGCAGGACCAGAGAGTGCAGCATCCGTCTTCCTGATGAACCAAAGAGTACAGCATCCATCTTCCTGGTGCAAGATAGAAATAATTTGACATGTTTGGGGTTATACTAGGTGATTTACACGATGTATGGTAATTGTACTTATGTGTATCTGTGCCTAAATAAACTTACTGTGTATGCTCAATAATAACATGGGGACAGAAACACAGGAGGTTGATTGATCTGTATATTTCGACCTCTTCTGGGATCCCCTTCAAGGGTTCGAAATATACAGATCAGTCAACCTCCTGTGTTTTTGTCTCCGTGTGGGTTATTAATTGAGCATTGATGGTGTTCATTACACTTCTGTTATGTACAGTGGCCGCAAAAAAAATCTATACATTAACAACTTTTGGACAATAAAACGAAAAAAATGCAATTTATTGTGTGTACATGTATTTTATTTACACTTTTTAGCTTCCAACTAGTACTTGGTCATGTTACCCTTGTTCTTTATCACCATCTGAAGTTGCCTGGACATCGAAGTGGCGAGGGTGGAGAAGAAGGAGGCGTCCATGTAGATCCAAAGCTTCTTCAGTGCCTCCTTCAGGCCCATGATGTTGGTGGGTCTAGCTTTTGCAGTCTCATTTTTCATCACATGTCAGGCATTCTCGATAGTTAGCATGGGCTTATTGGTGGCACGTCGAGCAGGCATTTTCAGGTCCTTTTGCAAGATGCATTTTCTTGAGTTCTGCGGATGTTATGGCAGGATCTGATAACACTTCCTTCCTCAGGATGCTGTCTGTGTGAAGAGAAAATGCATCCTGCACTCCTGAAAGACGTCGCAGTGCGAACCATTCAGCACCGACTTCAAAAGGACCTCAAAATGCCTGCTCGACGTGCCACCAAGACGCCCGCCCATGCTAACTGAAGCCATGAAGATGAAACGGCTTCAGTTCTGAAATATGTACAAGGATTGGACGTCAGACCAGTGACAGAAGGTGATGTTCAGCGATGAGAGTACCTTCAGGCTCGTCAGGAGCAGCTCCAAGACCATCCGTCGTCCCAGTGGTGTGTCCCGTTATGACCCGCGGTACACCGTGAAGACAGTGAAGCACCCTGGCAGTGTTATGGTCTGGGGTGCTTTTAGTAGTTATAATGGCAGGGTGGACTATACTTCCTTCCTAAGAACATTACGATGAAGGGAAGTAATTAGTAAAGAGATCATTCATGAGTGAATTTTTTATGCATGATGGTGTCCCTGCCCATAAGTCAAAAGAAGTGAAAAAGTTCCTCGAGGACAATGACATCAGTGTTTTGGAGTGGCCAGTCAATTCCCCTGACCTAAATCCTGTCGAGAATGCCTGACATGTGATGAAAAATGAGATTGCAAAA